GGGGTTTTTGCAAATCATCTAGTGTATTCCAATTCCTGACCTAGTTGCTGGAGAGAAATGAAATTGAGCAGAGGCACTAGGTGGCGCCAGTCTTGCTAGGAAAGTACAGCAACAATCACACAAAAGTACATAACACCAGCACACTCACCGTAAATAAAACACACTCACTATACACTCTATACACTGTACATACAATTCATTTTACACAGTTCATTTGAAGTTCAAAGTCAAGAGTTAAAGAGTTAAGAGAACAACACCTCAATATATTAAAAAAAATGGGTAAACATGGTGGCATATTTGACCAATAAGCACTGTTTTAAAGTTTTACAAAATGCTGCCAGTGTTGAAAGTTCTCATCTATGAGCTGAATTGTGTTCCATGTTTGACCTGCTCGAAAAGCAAAACAGAGCTGTCCAAAAGCACTTTCCTAAAGCACTTTCCTAAACGGAAACACAGAGCAGTCACCTCATACTGCCTGCTCTTGTTCTCTGATTTGAGTTTCTTTTCACAAACTCCTTTAGAGGAGGTGGAGCAAGATTATTAAAAACTTTGTATACCAAAATTAAATCTGCATATTTGATTGTGTTGTCCCATTTAAGACGTTTGTATTTGTCAAGTATTCTGCAATAGTGATCATTAGTTGGCTTTTTGTCTAATACCTTAAGTGTGTTTTTATAGATTGTTTCAGCAAATTAGATCAGAGCTGAAATACCACCTCGACTCTATCAGGTCTAAGTTAGGGCGAAACATGGTCTAAAATGAAACCAAACCATGGATGAGATAGTATATAATAGTAATGTAACAATAACTGAAATATTGTTAATGTATCCAATTACTCTTGGCTTAAATGTATTGTTATGGTGCAGCAACAGCAAAAAACTGTGAGAACTACATAGACCATGATCCTTTGCTCTGTTTCAGTCCAGTCTACATGAAGTAATAACTTAATTATTTGCATTATGACAGAAAAGTAGCATATTTACACTTCTGTCAGCCTACACAAAATATTACAATAAATATCGTATCATAAGATGTATATCATGAAAATATTGTATAAAAACTTTAGATATCGATAAATCCCTAGTATATAATTAATTTCACAAAACTTTTTTAATCTCTAGTAGCAGTGGTAATGTTTCTCCAATATCTTAAATGTTAGTGGTTTGATCCTTGTTCTGGTAAGTTTCAAAAATCAAAAAACAAATAAAACGTTTATTTAATTGATGCTCCCCCTAGGAAATAAATTTAAAGCAACCCTGCGTAACTTTCTGGAGGTGGCACTACCATAATGAAGAAAATTATAGCCAAAGGAACAACATTTCCGTGGAGACAAGCAGGTCAAGTAAGCGTCAGGTTTGTGGAAAAGCAAGCCTGCTCACAGTCAAGTCAGTATGTTTTAAGTGCAATAAAAACATCCCAACAAAAAAAAAAAAAAGGAAAAAAAAAAAAAAAAAAAACTAAAAAACTAAAAATATCTTTTAAAATACCATATAATAGCTGCATTTTTTATTTCTTTGAATCACTTAACAGACCAGGCATTTATTTGAGACCAGGCTGCAATTTGGGGCAGGCGATTAATTCCTTCCTCATTAAAATCTTGCTCAGCAAAACTGGGAAAATATGGTACTCAAATTCTTTTAACCAGGATGACTATAAAGTACAGTTTTTATGGCACACCTTGAAGGATGCGCCACTGTTATACGATGGCCTGGCGACTACTTTGCCTTTACCTTGTCGACCTGATTCCTGCCTTTCCTCGCCCCTTTGCCACAACTTTCCTCTTACGCCACAGCAGCTTCGATGACTTTGCTGCTTTCTCCAAATTGCCAAACTGAAGTCATTTTACCAAAACTTCTAAAAACTGCTTCCATTTCCTGTTATGTTATGCCATCTTTCCTTTTTTTACGTCACTTCGAAATAGAGATTTAAGAGGAGCGTCATCTGTTTCGCCACTTTTTCAGTGAAGATGAGGCTGATCGGACCCAGCGCAGAGAATATAGCCTATCCATTACCAGTCTAGAACATGCCGGACTGAACTGAACATATATATCTTGATTAAATAAGTCACAAAAAAAGGGAAATGGGAGTCTGAGCAGCCTGAACAACTACTAGGGGTGTTGGCATAGACTACTTTCTATACAGACATAGACTGTATCAGCGGTTATTTATCAAAACATACACCTGCATCCGGAGTTTAAAGGGGACCCAGCGGTTAATTGAAACCTGGCTATTATTAGGTATTTTATGGTAAACTAAAAACCTTAGTAATGCATTTCTAAAATAACATTGAGACTGACCTGCGACGAAGCAGACCCTCCAGAGCCCACAGTGCAGAGCCATCTTCACCTCCGTGGTCTGGTTCTGCTGGAGTACGATTCCCTCCTCCATCAGCAGCCAGTAATCTGTAGAGACAGCCACGCCCACCAGGAGGAGCCCACACGCCCCGAACACAGAGGAGAGCAGGGTCAGGGCGCGAGTGCTGAACGAACTCATCTGAAACCAGAGAAGAAGACGAGAGACGCGAGCATTAGAGCATTAGAGCTTATCATGCTCATAGGGCTTTGTATAGAAAATGAATCAAATAAAAGAGCTTTCAGTTTCCAGACCACAAACAATATGACATTTAATCTTTGCCATTTCACACAAAAAGTCAAATTTCTCCCTCCAAAGTTTGCTCCAAAACACATTTTTCCAGAGAGAGTTTGCTGTAGACCTCTCCGTTAAAGGGACAGTCCGGAATTTTGGACATAGGATCTGATTTCCTAGTGTGTCAGAGTGTTGGAGACGTGTGGAGACACTTTTTGAAATATTCCATCCAGTCCTTGTATTTGCAGAGGTCACTGGTGCTAGGCTAGTGCATGTCAATGGCCATAGTTATCCTGCCACTAAAAACAGTCTTACCCACTCCACAAAACACCCGAAACAAAACTATTATTGCACCAGACTGTTGATTTAAGTGTCTGTGTTGATAGAATAATGTTTGAAATAAAACTAACCTTGCATCGCATGAATCGTTGCATGTTGAGGGACTACCATCTATTTTATGTTGACACTATTGGATGTTTTTGTATATAAAATGATCAGTTTTACATAGCACTTTTCCACCTTCAAAGAGCGTTTAACATCAAGGAACCACTCACCCATTCACACACACACACACACTGGGGGCGATGCGGGTTAAATGTCTGGCCCAAGGATACAACAACAGCATTCATATCTGGGAGCTGGAATCACACCGAGACATGTGGAGACACTTTTTTAAAATATTCCATCCAGTCCTTGTATTTGCAGAGGTCACTGGTGCTAGGCTAGTGCATGTCAATGGCCATAGTTAGCCTGCCACTAAAAACAGTCTTACCCACTCCACAAAACACCCGAAACAAAACTATCCAATGTCTGTCTGTGAATGTCTGTGTTGAGAGATTAATTTTAGAAGTAAAACCAACCGTGCATCTGAAGGATTTATGTTTGAGCAGCAGCAGTGAATTGTACTTCCTGACAGAAAGCTTGGCAGCGGTGGACTGATATCACCGAGCACCATATCTTACCAACAAAGTAAAATTCCGCTGCTGCTGATAAAATAGTCCCTCAACATGTGACGATTTATGCGATGCAAGGTTAGTTTTATTTCAAACATTATTCTATCAACACAGACATTTACATCAACAATCTGGTGTTATAATTGTTTTACTTCGGGTGTTTTGTGGAGTGGGTAAGACAGTTTTTAGAGGCACTATAACTATGGCCATTGACATGCACTAGCCTAGCACCAGTGACCTCTGCAAATACAAGGACTGGAAGGAATATTTCCAAAAAGTGTCTCCACACGTCTCCAACACTCTGGCTCACTAGGAAATGAGGTCCTCTGTCTAAAATTCTGGACTGTCCCTTTAAGTGTCACGGATACAACAATAGAATTCATCTGTGGGAGCTGGAATCACACGAAGAAAACTGTGGAAACTGCTCTGTCAATGATGTTTATGTTTTACATTGAGAGCGGGATTAGAACTGGCAACTTTCGAATTAGAGAACTGTATGAATTTCTACAGACAGGCTAGGGGCGAGGCAAGTTAAATGTCTTGCCCAATGACACAACAGTAGCATTCATCCGTGGGAGCTGGAATCACACAGAGAAAGCTGTGGGAACTGCAATATCAATGATGTTTCTGTCTTATGTCGAGAGCGGGATCCGAACCGGCAACCTTCAGATCAGAGGACTGTGTGAATTTCTGCAGACGCACTGGGGGCAAGGCGAGTTTTGCCTAAGGACACAACAACAGCAGTCATCTGTGGGATCTGTAATTGCGCCGCTGACCTGTGAGAACTGCTCTATCAGTGATGTTTATGTTTTACGTTGAGAGCGGGATTCGAACCGGCAACCTTCGGATCAGAGAACTGTACGGATTTCTACAGACATGCTGTGGGCGAGGCAGGTTAAGTGTCTTGCCCAAGGACACAATAACAGCGTTCATCCATGTGATCTATAATCGCCCCGCCAACCAGTGGGCACTGCTCTATTAATGATGTTTATGTTGAGAGTGGGATTCGAACCGGCAACTTTCAGATCAGAGAACTGTACGGATTTCTACAGACACGCTGGGGGAGAGGCGAGTTAAGTGTCTTACCCAATGACACAACAACAGGAGTCATCTTTGGGAGCTGTAATTGCACCACCGACCTGTGAGTACTGCTCTATCAGTGAATGATGTTTCTATTTTATGTCGAGAGCGGGATTTGAACCGGCAACCTTCGGATCTGGGAACTCTACACAGTTCTAATTCAGCCCCCTATTCTGTGAACTGGGAGCGAGGTGGGTTAAGTGTCTTGCTCAAGGATACAACAACAGAATTCAGTTGTGGGAGCTTGAATCATTTTATGTTTACCGTTTTATGTCGAGAGCGGGATTCGAACCAGCAACTCTCGGACTCTTGGAGAACTCTACAAAATTCAGCAAAATCCAAGCACAAATAGCAGCCATTGATTGACAGTTTTTTGAGTTTTTTTCCAGGTGCAGTAAACTCTGAACTTTACTCCATTCCGAATATAAAATATTTACGACGAACACAGCGCGAAGAACCTTGGACGAGGCTCAGAGCTTCTCAAAACACAAGGCACGACCCAGCTTCAAACACAACAACATCTCCAGCTCTCTTATTCTGACCCCAGGACTTTTAAACACATTTAATAATTCACAAAGATTACAACTAGTGTTTCTACAGAGCCACCTTCAAACTATTTATTCTTTTACATTCTCGGTTAAGTCTGTTTTAACACACACAACACACAATGAATTTCAGACCGAGTGAACATGCCTCCAAGGGACAGAGTCAAGGAGAGGACTATCATGAAATAAACATGGTAAATAAAAAAAGAATATGTTATAAAAGCACATCCCTAGTGTTGGGAGAGAGTTTTTTTAGATTTAAGAATGGAAAAATGTTCACAGTGTGTTAATTATCTGGCATTTTCAAAAGTAATTTGACCAAAAAAAAGTCCTATATTGTACAAAATTGACTCTTGTGAGCTTTAAGACATGTTAGAATAATGTTTCCTCGTCAAAAACGTTCCTGGAGTTGTGTTTTGTTTAATTTACACATGTCTGTCTACATTTCCAAAGCTCGAAATGCTCTGTTGCACCTTGTGATGTCATGCAGTGGTAGTTTTCAAGCCACGTTTTACCTTTTATGGGCAATTCTAGGACTGAAATAATCCAAATGATTCTAGTGAAGGTGCATGGAGTTTAAAAACACAATGGAGCACTTCCTGTATCACCACATGACATCATAAGGTGGAACAGGGTGTTTTCTGTTAGGGAGAAGCTAAATATACAGGGTTTGTGTGTTAAAGTTGTGTGAATGAAACAAACCACAACTCCAGGTATGTTTTTTTTTTTCCAACATTATAGTACAGAAAAAGAAAGACACACTCTCTTATTTATAAGTAATAAGTAATTTGTAGTAAAAGTATTTGATAGTAGTAATAGTAGTAATAGTCATTTTCAAACAGGATTAGAATGCACATGTGATCTGTAACATGGCTTCACAATTTAAAATATTAAAATTAAATGATACAATAGTTGAAAACAGCATATTTAATAAAGCAATAATGCAATCTTAATTATATAATTCAAGATATTTTGTTAGCTAATAATTTTTTGATAACTGATAATTGATAACTGTTTATATAAAGCAGTGTTTATATATGCACCAAAAGTCACTATTTCAGTTACAGTATTGAATTTGTAAAGTATTTGATATACTGTGGTGTTGTATTTACTGTACAGTGAGGTGCAGTACTGCCTGGCTCGCACTAGAGGGCACTGTTGCTGCCTGGACCAAGTCATTTCAACGCCTAGTTTGAAATCTTCATTGAGAATACATGGTTCTCAGATATATATAGAGAGAGTCTCATAAGCATCTGAACTTTGTAACAACATTTTCATTTTTAAAGGTCTTATAGTCTCTTATGTTCCTCTGCCTAAATAGTGTAAATAGAGTTGGGGTATTAAAGGGTACTATCATGTCCAGGATTTTTAAAAAGTCTAAAAACTTGAGGTTACTGTAGAATCTTAAGATGTTGGTCATCAAAAAAATCGTTATTGTCAGGTTAACATGACATGGATTTAACACCAAAATGTCCCCAGCGTCCGTTACAGAGGACATGCTTTAAAATTATGAATAAAAATAAAATGAACAAAATCTAAATGCTGCTAAAAGATGTTCATTTACCTCCAAATAGATAGAAAATCACAAAAAATTCATATTATAATACTTTTTTTTTTTCTTCGGGTCCCATGAGGATATTACGCAAAATTGACTCTTGTGAGCTTTAAGTCATGTTAGAATGTTGTTACCTCCCCAAAAACGGACCTAGAGTTGTGTTTAGTTACAGTCACTTTTAAGTAAACCATTATTATTAGTTCGTTTACGTTTCCAAAGGTCAAAATGCTCTGCTCCACTTTGTGATGTCATGAACGAGTGGTTTTCAAGCCAACAGAACCCTTTTGTATGAAAATGACCCAGATGATTCTACTAACGGTGTGAGAGTTTAAAAACACAGTGCAGCACTTTCTGTATTACCACATGACCAGAGGTGGTGATACCATTAGGCAAACGAAGGTGGCTGCCTAGGGCCCCCAAACCTGGAGGGGCCCCCAGTCAATTTGCCCTCAGTGCCACTAATGAACGAGGACAGAGCAATTTGATTTTCTCTCAATATCACACTAAATGAGAGTAGTTTACTTTTAAACAATAATCATAATCATATGTAATGGATGTAAACAAAAATGAAGATGTCCCAGCAAACAAATAAAACTACTGTCAATTCTGGTTTTCTAGTCGGCGACCAAACTAAAAAGACAAGTTTCCAATCCACCATAATTCAAATAAACAGAAATGTGCATGTCTCAAGAAAAATGGTGAAAAACAGACCATAAATATATAGTAGGGATGGGCATGATTAGTCAATTAACCGATAATTGATCATTAAGAATT